TTGATCCCTATAGCTTCCCTCTGAAAAGAGGCAGACATGATTTAAGATTTCATGTATGGCACATGAGATTAAGTAAATATTAAGTATATTTAATAAGCATATTCAGATTAGTCATCTTTATTATTTCCTATTCAGCATTAATAACAAGGCRGCCCACATCTTTAAACCAATGTTGACAGACCTTAGCCAAACTTTTAAAAGCACATTTAGTTATTCTATAAAGTTGCAGGAACTATTCCTTATTTTGCACTCTTCATAAAAGTGTCCMTCAGATGCATAACCTCACTGAAAAACCATGTGACTTGTTTTAAATCTAACGAACAGGATTTAGAAAAGAACCACTGGGTGGTTAAGCCTCCTTAACACACGCCAATTTTGGTTATCCCTGCATCTCAACCTATATGAGAATTATCACCTTATTTCACAGGGCTCAGAGGAGAATGGGAAAAATGCAAGTGAGGCAGAACACATGAGGCTTCTGTTAAAGATTCCCCCTTTTAAGCGGAGCGCCTGTTGTGCAACGCGGAGCCACGCTGGTTCAGCCAGCTCGCCTGCCAGAGCCCGGCACCCGCCGCTCCAGCAAGGCCAGAGGGAAGAGGTCACCCAGACCTCCTCTCAAGGCACAGCCTTAGTCATGCTGCATTTGGGCTCACATTCACTACTGCCAGGTAGCAAACAAAAGAAGATCTTTGATCAGAGGTAATTGCTCTGTGTATTTGCTTTTGATCTACAATGACAGTGGTGAAAAAGTAGTATGAAATAACCTGAGTTATTTCATAAAGGTGAACTGGAATGCACACAATCACAAGAGCGTTTCTGGACTCCCACTATCCTGTTAGAATCTGAGTGAAATGAAGACTTCAAGAAACTGTGCACAGCTACCCATCCACTGAGCAGCGACAGGGAAGGCTGCCTGAAGGCATTGCGCATTTCCATTCGGGTTCGGGAGCGTCACAACTGCAACTTATTCTGTAAACAGCATCTTCCACAACCCTTAGTCCGCAATACTTAAAGCACACATGCACAAGATCAAACAAGTCTTTCTTAGGCTCATGTTTAAAGAACACAAGAGTATTCTTCTCTGGTCATTTGTTTGTAGAAGATCATACCCACTTGTGTCAATGTTGTTAATGTCAACCCTGAATCAACAGTCTTATTGTGAGACAAGGATTTACTGCACTGAAAAAAACAAGAATCATGTTCCCAAATTGGGAAAAAAAGTGCTTGTGCTAGCCCAAGTTTCAAAACGGTAAAGTTTGAGAGGAGTCAGCAGAGAAGCACTGAAGGAGAGAGACACAGCAAATTACAGAAAGTATTTTGGTAGTTCACCGCATGCTATCAAACACCAAGCAGTTTTTCTTCTGACTCCTTCCATTATAGTCTTAGTGTTTTTGAATTAGATCATTGAATAAGTTTAATTACAGCAAGCAAACAACACACCTAATCTCTCAATGATTAGAGACGGATTAACACCAAAGGGAGGCACTTCTTAGGTAAAACTTGAGAAACTCCCACAGCAATATGCATAAGCTCCTCTGAAAAAAATATGGAAAGTAACCTATAGCTGATGCTTGCTTTCAATATACAGAGTGAAACGATATCATTTAATGAAACACAGCAGGCCCTAACTTGTAGACTAAAAAACATTACTGTTAGTCATGGTATTAGACCTCTATGATAGAGCTATTTTTCTCYAGTCCCAAAGACGGAAAAATACTTTTTCTCAAAAAATGCTTAGGTATTGCTTTACTAAGCTTTAGTGTGACCTGAAATTAAATTTTAGCATGACCATTTACTTTTAAAGTATAACCCAGTGAAATTCCCATCTGTACTAAGGTTGAAATTCAACTTGGGCTGGAACCTCATGGTGAAAAACTTTTAGTTTTACCACTCTCTTGAGTCATACACCCTTTCATAGCAACCCAGTCTGTACTAGCTCCCTGATAATGATGCTATCAAACCACCTCTCTTGCTACCACGCTTATGCCGCTGTCATGGTTTAGCCTTGCCTAGCTTTCCCCAACCATGAGCTCGCAGGCTTATGCACATGCAGCCCTGTACCCGTGGCTAGCTGAGCCAGCCYCCACAACTGCAGCCAGCCTCCCATGCACATTGTGTGAAGAATAACATCCTACACAAGGAGGGGCCTCCAGACCTCAAACCTTCCTGTATGCCATGAGGTTTTTCTCCCACTACGATCTCAACTCCAGAGGTTACACTTTGCCCCTAAAGAAGAGGGAGAAGGAAGTGAAAGAGGTCCAAGACTTTCAGGTATTGATGTCACTGCTGCATGACTTACCCCAAAACTKTCTTATAAAGGTTACCATAAGGCAACTGAACTAATATTCAAAAGATACATACTGAGTGACAGCAACATGTCTCTTCTTCAATTATGAATTTAAGAGAACCAGCATGCATGAACACATTAAACGGTAAATACATTCCAAAGCTCAGCAATCACAGACCTAAGTATGAGGTGCTTAGTAAACCATCTACTAGCTGTGCACTTTTCCAATTGAAGCAAAACATTCATTCAGTTGGTATTAAAAGCACATTATTTGATCAGACAATTTCCACAGCAGCTAAAACAGCAGTCAAAACACACCAGTATTTTCTTTACAAGAATATAGACAGGTAAGTGATGTATTCTTTGCAGACACATTACACAACTTAGAGGACGGTACAACAGGGATCAAAAATCTTYTGCTCCGATTCTGGATCAAGATCCTAGAGAAAAAGCTTAACACAGAAAAACCACAAATTTGGAAACTTTGCCTTAATTTCATTTACTCTAAATCAAAATAGGTCCTTGGTTTTCTTTCCAGCTCCACCTAGAACACCCTTTGATTCAAGTCCARGCTATGCTCAAACGCAACTTTGCATGTCATGGCCTTTGTGTCACCTGCACACAAGCAAGAGCTCAAACACAGACTCTGACTTCTGGAATMTTGCCTGGAAAGAAAGGTTGGGCTTCTCCACGAACACCCCATCTGCTACAGGTAGTGTCAGCAAGAGAAAACCATGCAGAGCATCACTGCAGTGAACAACTTCCACAAGCTGTTTTGAAGCACCAGACCCTACAAAAAGAACTCAAAACACAGARAAGGTTTCACTTCTGAGGCTCCAGTATTACTGTCTTTGAAAAGGTGCAGAGTTTTGGCACTAGGTCTGCTTATTGAGTTGTTCTGACCTTTGTACTGTACACCACCACCCTGGACCATGCCACGGGGAAGATGTCTATGCAAAAGAGCCTCCTCAGCACCTGGTTGTTCAGTACTGAGGAAGTGTCACAAGTGACATCCATCTCCCCTTTCTTCCAGCTAGAGAGAAGAACAGAAAGGCTACAAGACAGAAACAAAGTTCAGACAGAAGACTGAGTCAACTGAAATGGGACACAAGGTTTTAAGGTAAATTCTCTTACACYGAGTAGTTTTGAATGTTAAATAGCAAGACACTAGAAGCATTGCTCTCKCCTTTCCAAAAGGACAGATACTTTTTATAAACATTTTGCATTCACCATTTGGGATGCTGATCCATGTTTTAATATCAAGRACTGTTGCCCATAACTTGAACCTAGTGGGAAAGCACAAAGTTCTTGATATTCTTTCTCATCCTATTAACTCCTATAAAATATGTAAATTTCAAAACAAAGGTTGRCAGAGCCCCAACTCAGGTTGTACCCACTCAGGTACTCAGCTATGAAGCAAGGGTTCAAGTGTTCTCAGGCCCAAGACAAGCTTTTTCACATACCACAATCTCCTGTATCAATGGGTGAAGAAAGGTTCTTCCTTTACATTATTCTGTGAGAAACTGGGGTTCAAGTATCTGCCTCTTAGAGCTCATGCATGAGAGCACATACAGATACCATTCCCCACGAAGATCAAGACTGCTGTAGAACTTGGTCTTGAATTTTACTGCATTAGATGTTTCCTCATGACCARGTGCTTGAAACTCCATTTTGGGTGCCACCATCCCAGCATCACCCACACTCTGCTCTGTGCTAGTACAATTCACTMATCTCTCCCCCAGGAGGTCTGACCTGCCTATACCACAGCTCTTTATATATGAAGGATGCAGTAGTGATTTAGGAAAAAAAGTAAATGCTTGCAATTTAGGAAAAGCAGTTTATAAGCAGCAATTAAAATGAGATAAACATTTGTATAATACAGACAGAATAAATCTCTGTACTGACTCTGCACTGAGTCTTTTGAAAGGTTATGTGGTACCTTGGGGAGATATTCCAAGTGCTAAGGAAAGTATGCAAAGTGGAAAATAAGATTATTAAAAATAATTCTTCTTCCATAGAATTTAAGTGAGCTCTGATGAAAAACAGGATAATCTCAAAGGCCTCAAGACAATGCTGCAAATGACTGAACAGTTTAGATAAAAACAACAAAAGGTTCTACAATTAGCTTAAATAAGGCACAATCAACAAAAAAACACAGTAAAATGGGACAGTAGCTTTTTCCCCATTCATGCAGCCCAGTCACTGGCACTGTTTTACTACAGATCTGAGCAGCCTTCCCTTTTCTGACAGCCTAACAAGTTACTGACAGAGGAGTCTAACAAGTAATTTGACAAAACCAGAGCCAGCAGAATTTAGTCTTTGGCCTGCAGGCACAAATTCCAAACATCAACTTTGAAACCAAAGCCTTCCTTGGCAGTCAAGGCCTATGCAGTCCAAATAGCTAGTTTCTGAAATCGACACCATTTTCCCCAAACTTAAACAGCTTTTGAACAATTTTCAAAACACAGCTGAAGGTATGAATCATCTAGATAGAATAACCTACTTGTAACACCTAGATTGAATAACCTCTTTGAAAGGACAGGCTCAAAGCTAAAAAAGGCAATATGCAGCCAAAAGGTTTAAATTCAGATCTTTATTTCAGAAATATAAGCAAGACAATATTTAGCAGAAACCACTAAAATAACAGATCAAGTCTGGCTTATTCTTTTCCAAGTGTTATTAGRACTTTATTTCAGCAAGAAGTATTTCTATCCATTTATGTGGCTCTTTCCACTGCTCCTACTATCCTGATCAAGTAAAAATACATGGGACTATACAGTAAAGCAGACTATCATTTTACATTGTTCTACTGCATCTATCATATGGCACATCATTTTTCACAACAGGTTAACAGATAAATGAGTTCGARCACAAGGAGCTTTCTACAAAGTTTCCATTTCACAGAACACTTATCACTAACTCTTGTTTATCTACCTGCCATCACTTCTTGGAAGGTCAATTCACACTTGAGGAAAAAAACACACTCCTACAGGAAGGATTCCCCTTTGAAATTCAGTTGAAGGACACACAAGCATCCCCAATACTAGAAAGTTTCATCTGAAAGGCTTGCATAACATTTGGTTGACAATTAGTAGCTGTACTCAAATTCTTCACATAGTTCATGTTCCTTGCAATCCAAATGGCGAGGAGGCAATATTAGCAGGCAAGTAAGGAAAGCAAGTATTTCCAAGTAGAGATGATATTTTGCAACTGATATCTGGATTAATTATAGCCAGTCACCTTCACTTTGGCAAGAAAAGAACTAAGTAGACAGAATAGCCATTAAAATTAGTTAGAATTTGAGATGCAATTGCCTAATCTTGCCAAGCACAGCCCAAAGTCATAATAGACAAAGAAGTCTAACTGCGGCATTCAATGGATATAGCAGGCTTTTAACCACAACTCAAGCATGAGCTTGAACATAATTACCCCCTAATTGAATAACCCTCCCCATATAAAGACACAAGGGTAGGATTTTAGCCTTYATCAGTATTTTAAGTCTTGATTTTGCTGGAAAAGCATTAATGCTTTATGAATGTGCTTTTAGTCCATACTATGCTTTTAGTCCATATATATATGTCATGTTCATACACACATGCCCCCAAGGTAACACCAGAAATTCCATAATGGTCATTCAACACTTCCTCTAGGTTTTCAACTATGAACACTTCCTTTTCAGTTTAAGAGCTAACTGACAGTTATACTCAAAGACTGAAGATAATACTAAGCTAAAGAAACTCCTTTGACATAACAGAAACCAATATAGTGCAAAGATTTGGAACCCTTTGAACTTATSAACTAAATGGTCTAATTTTAATAAAATCGGAGGGCATATACACAAAAAACAGGTATCAAGTAAAATCAATATATACTGAGATTAAACATTTTAGTTTGCTCCACTTACAAGAAAYCAGAAACACACATTTTACAAACTATTGCACATGTATTATTTTCCTTTGAATTGTTTTTGCCTTCCAGAAGTAATGCCTAAAAATACAAAATGTCATCTCTCTTGTTAGAAATAACAAGCCACATCACTTTATCAACAGGAACACAAGCCCTAACAATAATCACAGTATCAGTATAGAAATCCTACTGTAGTTTAACTAGCAAAATCTTGCAATGAAAAAAAGCAGCAATATTTGGATTAAACTTATGTCTGCTTCTAGAAGTGAATATATTTTTAGTTACATATTTCCTTAAAAATCACAATTTATTGTTAATAAACATTAGAGCACTAGTGTTGAAAGGCACTAGGGTTGCTAGCTTGAGTTACTTTCCATTTCCATGCAGGTATAGGCACTTGAAAAATTAACAGATCAAGCCCGTAAAACTCTTGTTTATTTGTGCGAAAATCTGCTACATTCACTAATGTCTTCAGCAGGTTGTCCTGCAGTTATGTGGACGCAAATTTCAAGAACAGAGAGGATCTCTAGCATGGTTTACAGGTTGGATCTCTCTTTAGCAGCCACACTAGATGTGGATTGTGTGTATGTCCTAATTACATCCTAAAAATGAAGAGAAAAACAGCATAAGTTCTATTAGTGAGCTTCAAAATGAATTGTATACCTAAAACAATATTTCATTATTGTACACAAACACTGAAATCAGTAGCAATTCCTAAAATGTTTCATTACCATTAATGCAAGTGGGTAACCATACAGTCTAGRTAATTAATCTGAAAATATTGTCTAGCATTTATAATTATCTTTCAGAATCATTAGAAAAACCAACTGAAATGAAATCATGGTAAATCAYTGATCGGCACAAATAGAGTTATGCTCCCCATTTTTCAATTCTATACACAGTCTTCTCCCAGGTTAACTGGGACTCAAGACTGAGTCCTCACTTCAGTGTATATACAAAATAAACTAAAAATCGAAAACTTAAGTAGAGAATTAGCGCACCTTTTTCCCAGCTTCAGCATTGTATCTGTCCAGTAGTGCCTGAATACGAGCCCCATAGTCAGGATGAACATCAGTAAARTTTTTCACCTAAACAGAAAGACAAGCAGAACAAGAGGCCTCTAATTTTATTCCTCTGCTTCAGATAGGTTGTTCATTATTTTTTTCTACTCCATAATCTGCAAGCAATGCATATCATAAGGAGAACATCTTCCCCAAAATAAGTTTAACACTGACCAAGCAGAAAGGAGGTTTGAGCATATTCCACACTATTATGTCAAATAAAAATCACATTGTCACACTTTCCTGATTAAAGTACCACTAGTAATGAGAAAGATTCAGTCTCTGACTTTCACTTCTTCCCTTGTTTAGGTCAAAACATACTAGTAGTCATTTCATTTTTGAAATGGCAACTTCAAATCTCATAACATCCTTGATGATCAAGACTCACCCCATTTTTCCCATTAGGGAGAGAGTAATTTTTATTTACATCTATCTTACATATTGTACATACATCTACATGTTATGTTCTGGATTGATAACTCCTGCACAAACAAGTCATGAAATTGTCTTCCCAAGAAGAATTCCTGATCTTTCATAGCATTAGCATATTCTCATCTTGACAAAATATTTAAGAGCCTGGAAGAAAATCTGGAATAAAGGCTGAAACAGTGAACCATCCACTTACAGCTCTTTTCTGAATGAAGAGTTGAGCGTCTTTAAGATGATCGGCAATGTTTTTACACAGCCTCTGGCGTTCATCCTCCTTCAGTACTTTGGTATAGAATACTCGCACCTTATGAAAGAAGCAAAGCTTTATTTTGCAATTCTAAAACACAAGTGATTCCACCAGCTGCTCATAACAGTTAACAAATTTCCAGGATTCACCATTATTAGCTTTCACTTAGACAACAACAAAAAACACGTGCAAACTAATAGCCTTTTGAGTTATCTGGCAAGCCTGCTAACAACCCTTTTCATTTCTTGTTTGGAAGTCAGCATYGCGTATCTAATTAAAGAAAACAGATTTGTTGAAGAGTTCCAAGTGAACAGTTTAGAAATTGATGGCAATAGCATTATGGATGTATTCTTGTTTGGAAACCTGCAGAAAACAATTACAGAGAGACTGAAAAAATTACTGCCTCTAAATACCAGTGCAYAGAATACAAATGAGAAAGGCTTGTGAGGATTTACTGTCTGGACAAACAAATATTCAATTGTCCATGAAATGAGCCTCACAGATCTTGCACCATTTTATGACAGCTGAGCTTAAGACTGTCTAGACAGTTTACAAACTTATCTTGAGAAATGAGCCATGCAAACCCTTTTATACATCATGATACCTGGGACACATTATCGTCATCTGCACTATTGAAGCGCTGCACATCACCCGAAAAGAACATGCGGCTCTCCTTCACATGGGGTTGATCTTCTGGACCAGTAAAACTATTTGGATAGTAGTTCGGGGCACCACCTGAGAAAGCACATTAGAAAACTCAGATGCCAGCTCTCAGACTAATTTAGAAGGCAAAAGTATGTTTTCTATCTTCTAAATCTTAAGCAATCTAAGTCAATTAACCAACCAGGATTCACTTTAAGAAAAATAAGTTCTCAGCATTTCTTTATCAACATACTGCTCAGCAGGAGTTGGCTATAGCTTCAAGCCTGTGCTGAACAGCCCTGCTCAAAGAAAGTTTCAAGAACTTTGGACGGAAAAGGTTACTTTGCTTCATTTGATTGTTTCATAAGTAAGGTGATAAGGTCACTTTCACAATATTGGTTGTCAGCCAATATTAGGGAAAGTCATGGAAGYCATTCAAGATTTAAGCCAAACTGTTCCCAAACACTCATTTTTTTTTTTTTTGCAATATTTCAAATAGAAGGGAGGATACAATACTAATTATATCTTCTTAGYGTTAAGGACATAGGAAAAAGGTAGGAATGCACGGTCACTTCTCATACAAAGAATTAAACAGGCAGGCACACCACAAGGATCTATATAGCTGTACTACTCAACATATTCAGCTGCGTTAGCAGAAAAGGTAGCAAATATTAAGCTAACAGTTAAACCTTGTTAAAACCAAAGCTAGCAATTTACAGTGATCTCACACTAAAAAAGTTGAATGAAAGTGACATTGAACAAAATCTGCCTTATAGCCATATGAAAATATGAATACTTTATATGGAAACAACCAAAAGCTCTAGAATATATTACTACCAATCACAAAAGAGATCTTGAGTTTACACAGATCGTTTCAAGCTAGTTCAATGTTCACCAGCAATTAGAAAGTAAAAACTATTAGGAATATCAGATAGACAATGCCAAGACTCTACAGAAAAACAGTAGATGGTAGATTTGCAACAATGCACTTCTGGGCAAGTGATCTCAGATTCTAGATATTCAAGAGAAGGTACTGTAGAGCTGACATTTTCAGAACAGTTTTCATAAAAGGAAAGAAACAAGACAGTAAGTCTTAAGCTCAGAAAGAATAAGAAAAGATCAAAGAGAAAAAGTAACATCTCACAGTAAGAAATTAGTAACATCCAATACAACTACTTTTCCAACACTTAATTTCCCTGCAAAGAACAAGCCTGCAATACATGCTCAAATATCAACATCATGTTGAAAAGCTCTTTCATCAATACCTTGGTTGTCAGAAAAACACATTGGTCCATCCCTCTGATAATTGGCCACACGAGTTCTGAAGGGACAGTTCACAGGAAGTTGTAGATAATTAGGGCCCAGACGGTGTCTATGAGTGTCAGGATATGCAAAAAGACGACCCTAAAACATTTGTCAAATATTAATTGCTATTATATATTATACTAAATATATTGTAATYGCATTCATTGCTACTTGCTGAAAGAATTTACTTGAATGGCATTATCAGAGTTCAAAGCAAGGCACCTTTAGAAGTTAGAGACAGTGTTCCTCAGACTTCTATTGGACATTTGAAATTTGTCCAAAACACATGCAAATGAACCACTATGGTTCAAGTCAGCTTTATTGAAAATATTGGTCAAAAGTAGTAAGTTGTGCTCCATTTTATTTAGACAGCCTGATCTCTCCAACTGATTACAAGCACCACCTGCTCCAGAATTCTAAGGCTATTTCTGAAGCAGGGAAATTCTCACACACACACAGCTCTAGTATCATTGAGTATTACTAAGGAACAATAACTATGTTTTCCTATTAATTTTGAGGCCAATATCTAACAGATTAAATCTGAAACAGGTGCATTAACTGTTTGCTGAATTTACCCTGAAGCTGTATTTCTATAAACACCTGGACACRAAGACATTCTCCAGCTTGTGGCAGTGGAGCGAGGCAATACAGGAAAAAGTGCATGATAGTTGAAGTCTTTATGCACTTAAAAGCAAAAAATATTCTGGTGCTTCAAAGGATGCAACACTAACAACTTGTTTATACCCTAAAAACATGCAATATGGAAATAACCACAGCTGTGCAGCTAGCAGAGTACACTACATACAGCCTTCCTAATCTAATTCTACCTGTAATAAGTCAGCAGTGTTACTTTTRCACAGGCTCCCATTCTATAATTAGAAATTAGTTCGATTCATATTTTACAACATTTGAAGTCTTCCTTCTATAACCATAGAGAAGACTAAAACCATCAACATATACAATAAAACTAGAAAAATAATATACTCTTGCTGCAGCTTTACCCAGTACTAGCAGATTTGATATCACTTTTGACAATAGTCACAGATTTCACTGCTATTTTAGATTTTCTGTTCCCTCAGAACTTTCCCATTCTCTTTATACTTAAAAGAGAGATGAGCACATCTGCACCTGGCATTAAAAACAATTGCTTTATATCAGACTACTGCTATTCTAAAAAATAAAAAGGGGGCATGAGTGCTGCAACTAACAGCAGAAGAAATGTCACCTGCTAAGTTGCATCATATGTACTTCAGCTTACCTGGAGCATTTTGTCAGGGCTSGGTTCAATGCCAGGTGGCATGTTGCTAGGATCAAATGCCATTTGTTCTACCTCTGCAAAGTAATTGACAGGATTCCTGTTTAAGACAAGCCTTCCCACAGGGATGAGAGGGTAGTCACCGTGAGGCCAAATCTGTAAGACAAAACAATRTGTGTTTTAAACACATGCATCTTATTTTACATTTATATAACTTAAAGCTAAAGCTGCCTAGAAAATTCTGATTAAGAAGACAGCTTACCAAAATTTTTATTTTGTTAATGAGCTTTTTGGGAGGAGTCAYACTTTAAGAAGCCTTTCGCAACTCATATAGAACATTTACGTAACTTTGTCATCACAGTATAATCTCAGCACTTGAAACTTTAAATGAAATAGCCACAGGCATTTGAAAAACTGCTTAAGAATGCAGTGTTGTAGGTGGAATGGGTAGCACAAACTGTTTGTTCTCAGCTACTTCAAAACACAGCCAGCTTAACTACTCTTTTCTTTGCTCCTTAAGTCTGAACTCTCAAATTCAGAAAATATTCAGCCTCTTCAAGAGGAACACAACTAGGGGAAGGGGAAATAAAAGTCTATATTAGCATCTTCCAACATGCTGTTCTTGGAAAGAGTGACTGGAAATTTGGCATAAAATTAGACCAACAACAGATCCTACATGATCAACAACAGTTAAAACTAGCTGGCCCAGGGTGTGACKGTACAATCTGAAATTGCACTTTTGAAATGCAGTACAGTCACAGTCTACAAACCTGGATTCATATTTCATTGAATGAGAATGCCATAAGACTTCTTATAATGCCTCAGAAAGCTATCTTACACAGCCTTCTCGATTAAATAACCAAGGGGAAAGGGGCATTCTAAAATCCTGTGCTCGTTTAACSCATTCTATTCTTTTCCAGTATGTTTAACAAGCACTGAACTTCACCTCCGAGGTTTGACTCATCCTGACAAATAAGCAACACACTTAAAGGAAGTAGGAATTAAAAGAAAACCTTTTTGATAAGGCACTAGACTGAAACTTAGGAAATCAGTGCTATGTTATGCACCTTATTACTCTTATATACGGATGAATTCAAAACATACAAAGTGCCAAAACTGAATTCATGACCTTTCTTAAAGAAATTGTGTTCATAAAAGCATCAAAAATACCTTGGTTAAATCAAAAGGATTAAATGGAAACTTCTCTGCTTCTTCAAATGTCATAACTTGAATGTAGAAAGACCAGGACGGATAGTTCCCTTTGGCAATAGCATTGTAAAGATCACGTATTCCATAGTCAGGATCAGTAGAAGCCAATTTTTCTGCTTCTTCAACAGGAAGGTTTTTGATGCCCTGATCAGTCTAATAAAAACAGTAACATTAGTTACAATATGAGTATTACAGAACTTACTGATAAGACATGCATACTAACAAGACTTCGGATCTAGGAGAACAATTGTCTCTCCAATTCTCCAGTAATTTGAAATCAGAATAACAGTACATTGAGCTGCCTTCTGTTAAAAACAGCTCTCATCGGAGAACTAATGTCATGGTACACCACAACATCAAATATCAGAATGGAAATTATGATCCATGAAGCACATCAGACAAAGCAGTCTCTTCTCTCCCATTAAGGTGTGCAACACCCCTTACATGTTCCAGCCTCCCACTTCTTCAAAGCACATGCCAGCATTAAGAACAAACACAGTGACTGCCCTCACTACTGCAAGTTCTAATCTTACACAAAGCTTTCTCCAGTTCAGTTTTTAATGGTATTGAAAAAACTCCCTGATGTAAACTTCAGGGCATCTCAAAGGCTTAAGACAGCTACACAGTCCCTGTTAACTTAACAGGGCTATTTAAAGCCTTTGTTTCGGAGGCAAAGCTAGGTCCATCAAGCTGAAGGATGAAGCAGTAGGAAAGTGCATTGTCTCTACATTTTTGAGTGGAATTTTTCACCAAGTGGGAAGTGCTGAACTGAGACTGCTTTCAAAAGCATGGGAGTTCCATGCGCTTCAGTGTCACRAATCCCAAAACCAGAGAGTGTTTTAAATGGGAACAAGAACAGCCAGACTGAAAGAACTTAGAGTTGAGGATGAACCTGTTGAATCTAACTTCTGTAATTATGAACCTAAGCAGGAATGTTTCAGACAAAAACAACATTTAAAACCACACAAATCCACTGAGTTCTTCAAAGAGTTCCTCACAGCCTAGTAACTGTGTCAACTGTGTCAAATCATAAACATGACCCTGTGTATTTATCAAAGGCATGCAATATACACAAAATACAGTCTTTAAATTAAGACCATCTACTAACCAATCTTTTCAAATTCAGACTTAAGTTACAAAACTCTCAGATAATCTCTAGACTTTTTAATCCAGTAAGATATTTATTTTCCATGGGCAAATATAAAAATCAATACCTTTGCATGGAATTTGCAGTAAACTGCATTTCCACTAGCATTGATCATTTTAAATGTATGTGATCCATATCCATTCATATGGCGATGTCCATCAGGAATACCACGATCGCTGAACAAGAAAGACACCTAAGGAAAAGGATTCAACCATGTTAATGGAATCATCAGTTCAAGGATAAAAGTGACCTTGACTTTTCAAGGCAAAAATACATTTAAACTAGTCTGTATCACTAGGAGTGATATTAATGTTAACTTCCTGGAGGAATTTCTAGCTTGAAGATTTTCTAACACTTTTAATGAACTAAGACACYTCAGATATTGCACATATAATAATGACATGAATTAAACATCATAAAACATTATGTCCCAGTGAGGCATAAGACTTTAATCTGGAGATTACATTTTGATTTTCCCCTAGAAGTCACAAGCAGCTAGGCATGGATAATCTAAATTACAGGTAAAAGTGACATTTTTAGGTTAGAGTCTGAAAATTAAAATTCCAGACAACTAGTTCCTAACCAAGTTCTTCAGGCAATAAAGTATCATCACATAATGCTATGAGAAAATGCTTTTCTATAGGTTTAATACAACATTTGTGATGTTTTTCTTCCAATTAGAAACTACTGACAAAAGCTCTACATGAGCAGTTTAAAAGGCAAAACAAAAAATATTTCTTATTTTACTAGCTTGAAGGAATAGGTAAACAGAGGAATTAAAAGGACTTGTGCATCCTGGTCCTCTGAGTTGAGCTAACATATTAAATCATAAACAGCTTTACACAAGCCAAGATGCAAGAGTCTAACATGTCCAGGCTTTTGCTCTTGAACATCAGATATACATACACCATTGCTGATCAGTATTTCCACTACTTTTATAAACTAAGAATACTTCCTTCATTGCTACATAATAGTACTGTGAAAAACAAGACACATTTCAAATAATCACCTATCTTAAACTAGAAATATAATAGGGTTAGAATTTATTGTAGACCTTTATTGTTCCTAAAAAGATAACTTTCTAAAACATGAAACAGAAAACACACACACACACGCATTCTCTTAACTTATAATTTTCTTAACTATGGAAGATAAATTCCAAGAAAGACTTTACTTGATGCAGAGACTCAGGGCGAAGACTCCAGAAGTCCCACATCATATCCGGATCCCTCAAATGAGTCTGAGGATTCCTCTTTTGGCTATGGATGAAGGATGGAAACTAATTTGTTCAGAAGTTTAAAAGAAAAAAAGTAGTGAGTCTCAGCACCACCTTCTGAGGTATATTGAGTAAGTTCTGATACAGTAAGACAAGATAGTTTAAATACCCTCTAATCTACGAAAGCAAACCGATAAATAAGACAAAGCAGTAAGACCAGAAATGTTCCATCATCCATCACTTCCTGGTACCAATTCAACACTAATTTTACTGGTTTGACTGTAACTCAAAGTGAGCTACTCACAATTAGGATAGTGGTCTGTCAAAAGACAGATCAATTGAGTCTGAATTTGAATATATGAACTTAACTGAACAAGCAACTCAAATGTACTATATAACCAATCCTATATCTGTGCTCATCTCTAAAGCCAAGCCCCTCTTAACACTGACTGCACATACAAAGGGCATACTTCTATTCATAGACAAAAACACATTAAGAATTTTTAGGAAATATTTAAAAAACTAAGAACTAAACAGTCTAGAGAAGAAAAAAGGCTAATTCTAACACTATTGAAACTTGGCATACTCAAAGCAAAAATAATGAGAATGAAATTGCTTTAATACTAGCACACATAACAGATGATTTATTTGCAATTGAACCACTTTAGTAATCAAGTATTAGTTCCTAAAAAAGACAACAAACATTTGGAATATCTACTGAACAACAGACTTAAATATGTCAAAACAGCAATTTTATTTTTGCTTCAGTGAAGCAGCAGAGATGATCTGAATGAGCTTTTGGACTCTTAAATAGGTTATCCTCATCTTAGATGCTTACTTACCAACATCGTATCCCGAATAAAGAAAATGGGAGTATTATTTCCCACAAGATCCCAGTTGCCCTCCTCTGTATAGAATTTCATCGCAAAGCCTCGAGGGTCACGAACTGTATCAGCGGATCCAGACTCTCCAGCTTGAAGAAACACATGAACATATATAAACATTAGAAAGAAAGGCCCATACAATACATCCACTTTAACCAACTGAGAGCAGAACTTGCATTGTCACTAGCAGAGACAACACTGAATTTGAGAGCTTCACCAACTAAAAGGCAAAACCTGCTAGTTAGCGTGCAATTCCTAATGTGAAAGCTCTTATTTAGARGGCAGCTACACAAAAGGAGTGCATTAAAAAGGACAACTTATTGTAGTAAGAGTTGCAATCCTTTAAAGTCATTTCTATTGACTGGAGTAATTGCTTTAGGTGAAATAACCTGCTGGCAGAGGAAAAATGCATACCACAATACATAAGCAAAGGTTTTCTAGACGTACCCAGGAAGAGCTAATGCTAACAGTCATTATGAAATCATCTAGGACACTCATTTTCTCATAAAAATTCTGCATACTGTAAAATAACTAAGAAACATGTTCTAACAGAGCAAGCAAAGGTAAAGAGATGCAACAACCTGCTTTAGCATACAATTCATTCATTAAACTCAGCTGCATGTCTTTCCTGCATAGATACATATACCTCAAACGGTAAGTTTTAGCTGCCAGTTAGACCAAAAACTGTTGCTCCTTGAACCATGTGGAACTTTTATCAATACTATTGCTAGAAGTAAACTCTCATTAAGATTCTTTGCTTCTGCACACTRATAAAGTGGTAAGGTGTTTTTAAAAATTTCTCCTAGGTACCAAGTATTGGTGTTAATGTACGTCTCACCCAGCATCATTTAAAATTTTGACATTTAATGTATTCAGCTCTCCAGAAAAAGAAATGTTTTGGAACACCATTCATTGTCCTTTCTTAACAGAAAGGATCACTAAAGCATTCCTACAAGTTAAGAGATAATAGGCCTTGAAGTTAAGGGCACTGCTGCAGTATGCAAGCACTGATTAAGTTTCATCCARAAATAGATTGGTCTCCCTCACAACCAAAACCAGCTCAGACTTCCTTTCCAGAGTGTGAGAGAAAAGGTAAATAACTAAAGAGGACTCCTACATAAAGATGCAGAAGCAGCACTAAACTATGTAAGGGTTTTATAATAAAAACTGCAATTTACAGAAGAAGATTTACCTGGCAAAAATATTAAACTGTACCTTAAGCCCAAGAAAAGTGTTTCACAAAGCAAACATTGATAGCAATTATGATACATATAAGAAAAGATATAATACCAGTTTAGGGCCTTACCAACAGTAGAGAATCGGATCGCAATTGGTGTTCTCTTTCCAATGTGTTCAAACACTTTTGCCTTACAGTATTTAGTAATATCATGAGTCACTTCAAAGTAGCCAAATGCTCCTGTCAAAAGTAATTAAAAGATCTATATATTTCCCTTTCACTAGAGAATATCATTATTCTACTACAGTCAAACATTTAAGTTTTAATCAAAAGACAGAAGGTAATTCATGAATTTAAACGTAGTCTATGCATTAAMACATTTTGTATTTGCTTTTCACTTAATGACATTTACTTAACACAAAAAGCACTGTTTTCCAGTCCTTCCTATCCCCATCCTTAACTGATGGTCAGTTCCTGAAAGCAGCAGATCTCACTTCTGAGATAAACAGTGGCTTTTTGGAGGCTCCTCTGTCTAGAGTTTCCATACTTATCTCAGCCCAAGGCAAATACTTTTTTGTTGTTCATCTATGCTGCAGTATTGTTGGTCCATCTTCATGCATTATGGAGTAGCAAAGTTCTCCCCATCCCTACAATGGAACCTTTCCTTTACACTCGCTTCGCAACAAGATCTAGTATCTTTTTCTTGTTGTAGCACAATTGCAGCAAAATCAGAGAAGCTAGTTCTATTTTACAAGGATCAACCAAAAATCTAAATTGAGTTCTCTAGGGGTGGGATGAAGTGTTTGTTTCTTTTTTCATTACTAGGTATCATGTTGTTTTAAGAGATACAAGAGATTATATAGACTACATATAAGCAATGATACAGGAAAACTTTTCAGTGTATCAAGTTTTGGCATTCACCACTGGCATAAAGATGAAGACTGGTTTAAATTTTATCATGACCAGCAAGTTGCTAGGGTATTAAGCATTTACTAAGACCTCAGTTATAACAAAGGTTTTCATTACATAACTTCACATACTTCATCCATCAACCTTTGGATCAAAGATCCCAAGTTGACTTCTCCTGAAGCAGGCCTTACTTCTTGTTCTCCTCTTGTTGTTCATATGTAACTACCAATTAACTAACTAGGCCCTTCTATGGCCTAACTCTCCACAGACGAAAAAGGTATTTTAAAAACATACCTGCTCCTTTTGCATGCACAACTCTTTCAGGGATCCTCTCTCTATCAAAATGGGCCATCTCGTCAGTGAAAACAACATCCTGAACAAGAAGAGGCCCCCGCGGCCCCACTGTCAGGATATTAAGCTTATCCCCAACTGGGTTTCCAGAACCAGTGGTCAGGACATCTGGTTTCTAAAAGTAAAACACAGTCAGTATTATTGGGATTAAAAACTGTATACCTTTAAGCCACACAGGGTACATATCTGATCAAGGTATGCGTCAGATAATACACAAAACTATATATACAAAAATAGCACACGTGTTTGTAACCAGCCACAGAAGCCWTACATGGTTTACATATACCAGAACAGTACTGGCTAGGGCTACTAAACAGGAGTGAAAGCCACATATAATAGAATGCTACTTGTTRAGATGTGTATCTCACTGTTAGAAAGTGACTAGCCTAAGCTAAGACTCAAGCTTCAGTACAGCCTCTTCTTAGTCTAGTTAATATTTAAAGTCTAAGTCAGTCTGCTGATCAACACTGGCAGTCAGAGGGGCAAGTAGGAGAAGAGAAAGAATTAAAGGAGATATTTCCAAGGAGTTGCTGGAAATTAATGAAGGAGAAGAAAGGAGAGAAGGAATAAGACAGTAACGTGGACACWGGGATCAAGTCAGTGAAAGAGCTATAAACACACGTCATAAAGAGAGTACCTATAACTACACCACAGGTCTGGAAAAAAAAATACAGAAAAGGACGCAAGTCAAAGGACCTAAATAGTCATCTGCAAACTTCTGAAGGACTAGGATTAAAAGKAGCCCTAAGAAATCCTAATATCAAAAAAATCCTGTTCAAATGACAGTAAAATATAACACTAGAGGGTTGTTTTGATCAGTATAATAGAAATTGCCCAAAAGGGCAGTACTCATTCCTTGCTTCTCCCTCAAATATCCAGCATAACTTAATCATCTTTGAATACTAATTAGAACTGCAGCACAGAAGGCAGGATTAATCCCATACCTGGAAAAATAACCACTCAAAAAAAAAAAATTTCCAGAAACTCCTGTCAGGATTCCATAGCACTGGGACCATAACATGCCATAACACTGAGTCTACATCCATTTTCTGAGAATTATCTGCATTACGCACCAGTTCAGTTACCTCATTAAGGCAACAGTCCTATTTTGCTGSGTATTGTATAAGGCATGGGATAGAAGGTATATAAACTCTAGAAACCATCTCTAAACTAAACAAAGAAAACGTGGTTTAAGTTGACCAATGCGAACTATCACTGCTGCAGACATTAGTTATTCCCGGAACACATGTAACTGCTTAGGGTGAGGATGAAGTTTGTAACTGATACCAAAGAATCGAGCAAAAGTCAAAAAAGGGCTTGCAACAGATGAACACAAATACTCAGCTGTCAAATTATGACCTGTTAACATTTAATCCACAGTTATATGTGGTATTAAATGGACATACCCATGCTCTCCACCCACAGTATCCTACCTTCTTCCACCATTTTCCCAGAAGTATCGATGTGGCTAATCTAAGGAACTGCACAAGGATTGCACTTGAAGTTATACAAAYGAAAGGGAGAAGGACACAGAAGAGTAACCAAAACTTGCATTACTGCCCAGGTGAATTTGGGGTCTCAAGTTTAATACTGACAGTCGAAAACCTTTATTTAAGGGTTTTAATCCTTCCATTGTAAACTGGTGAAATTTCCATACTATTTAACTGAAGGATATATGGGATAGGACAAGCTTCCAGGTAATATATGTGGCAGTGGGGATTTGTTTGTTTCTTGTTTGTTTTTAAAAAAGGTAAATTACAAGACAAAGAAAAGAACAGTTTACACCTATACCCAACCAATGTTCTAAATGAGGTAACATTTTATAGGAAGAGCTAGTACAATCCTTCGCTTAGCTCAGGTATATTAAAAAAAGAAGTAATAGACAACACTTGCAGTAACTGCATTTCCAAAGTGCTCTTATAAAAGATATATTACTTTAGATGGCTGGAAATTCAAAAATAATGAGGTACTTTTTCCTTCATGCAACATTTCATTTAAAGTAAGCACAAATTTAGCTCCTATATTACAATTTATAGCAATTTTAAAGGGACTTRTATTCATGCCATCTTAAAGCAAAGACCAGGCTACACTCATTCCATAGAAGTTGTATTCAACTAGAACTCCAAGGTAAACGGGGCTCTAAGCAACCCAGGATGCTTAAGCTGACACCARTAGAACTCTCATGCATATATATATACACACCTATACCTTCTGCTTTCCAAACCCCTTGCAAAAACATGGTCAGGGACAGACCAGAAAGGAARAAATATTTAGCCTTTGTTTTAAAAGCAGCTTTTAGTCCACCTCCCCTTATAATAAGCTTCACTGTGATTATCTGAAGGGGGTGGGAAGAAAAAAATTACCAAGATTTGCATAAGAGTTTTAAATTAGGTACACAGAGAAGAATGAAGGTTTGTAAAGGTAAGAAAACCCTTTTCAAATCAATATGCTCTACTGCTGTCTGAAAGCTAGCTTTTTCTACACTGTTATCACCTACAACTAGTACAAAGTRGCTACCAACTACAATTTCCGAGGCTAAAGCCATCAAAACTAAGTTCTGTGGGTGGACACGCTCTCCCATGARAAGGTCTGAACCTGCCAAAAGGATGTTTATGTATGTTGACACTGGAAGTACAAACTTTTTTYCCCCTCCGCATTGTTAGATTCACATACTTTAGTTTCAGGATAATAACTACACAGGGCATGCAAAATTCCTTTTTATTAGTACATAGGAAAAAGTAAAATAATACTAGTTTTAGAAAGACCTTTCATACTACCTTCAGCTTTAAATTTGTTTGATGGGTACATTTTCATATGGTTGGGAATTGCAGACAGTCAGAACCTTAGAAGATAACAACTCTCAAACCTGCCTGTTTATATTATTAGAGCACTGAGGTCCTGTGACAGAAAGGGAAGGGAAGCTCAGCCAAGAGAAGCTGGGCCACAGCTGTAATAAACATCATACATCAAAGTACCTACTCCCAGGCATGGCTGGTACCTTGTACCTAATACAGTCACTTTAAAATTCTGATCAGCCTTCCCTACTTTCTGTCCAAAGGTCTCATGACTCCTTGTGCAACACAGTCTGGATTGCCTCCCAGTCTTTAACTTGGCCTATGCATAAGCAATGCTCTAGTCCAAAAGTTAACTTTTCTGTAGCCAAGTGTTATTCAAAGTACAAAGATACCAACAGCATTTTATGAAACTCGCTGGAATGATATGATGAAGCCCCAATTTGTATCTCGATACGTCAACCTCAAATCACTGAAATGCAGTTTTCATACAAGGTCCTCCAGAACACACTAAGCTAGCTAACTAAACACGAGCAGCAGGAGCAAAGCCCTTCCACCACCTGCATTTCCCCAGACAGGTGCTTAGCACAACCAGCAGAGCGCTTCATTCCCGACACAGGGTCCCACGGGACAMTACAGAGTGGAAACTGACACAGCGACCGGAGTTAAGGGAAAGGGAAAGCGACTAATGCCACATTTATTTGTTTACCCTTATAGATTTAACTCCACACATCTCAAAGATCGAAATCAGTCACACACAAGCCACAGCTTGACACTCATTAACCTCTTGCAGCAACCCACGAGCAACCGCAGGGAGAGAAACACGGCCAGCACCTTCCCCGCGCCCGCTCGACCCGCCTTTTACAGCGTTCCCCCAGCCGCACGTGCCCCGGGCGCTACGGACCCGAGAGCGGCCGCACAGAGGCGGCCCGCGGGCGGGAGAGCGGGCTACGGCAGCGCGGCGACGCCCGGGGCAGGCCCGTAGGCCTCGCGCGGGCGGCACGAGCTGCCTCCCCGGCCGGGCGGGGAGAGCGCGGGCCGGGCCCAAGGCAGCTCCCCCGCCGCCTGCGCCCGTTACGGCCCCGGCGCGAGTACCTGGGAGCCGCGCTGGCTCTGCCACTGCTTCAGCTGGTCCGAGGCGCTGTCCCGGCTGTCAGCCATCTTGCGGGCACGGGAGACCGCGGGGCAGGCGGGACGCTCGGGAGAGCGGCGCGGGACGGCTGCGGGCACAGGGGCGGCAGCACCGGCTCGCTCCGCCGCGCCGCAGCTAGCGGGAGCCGTTACGCGGCGCCTCCTACTTCACCGCTGCGCCCACCCGCCCCCGCTGCCGCTCCGGCCAATAGCCCCGCGCCCCGCCGCCAGCGCGGGCTCTGAGTGGGSCGCCGAAATGTCAATCAGGGGAGCRGGCCCCCACCCCGGTCGGGGGCGCGCGGCGGCCGTTGGKCGCCCCGCCCATGTGGGGACGCTGGTGGGGGGCGGATGGCGGCGAGGGGAGCGCGGGGCAGAGAGGGGTCGTGGTGCCACCCTGGGCTGTGACACGGTCCCCGCGGCTGCCCCTTGCGCGAGTGTCGCTGGCTCCGTGTGCCGAGCAGCCCGAGAGTCTTAATGGGAGCCCGTGTGGTGAGGGGGGGCTCGCTGGGCAGAGGTGCTCGGGAGGCGGAGAAGGAGGCTGCGAAAACAACAACTGCTTAGACAGGGTTAGGGGCAGGATCAGTTTCAGTAGGAAAAAAAAAACCCACAAACAACAACAACAAAAACCAACTCTCTTGCCACATTTATGGAGGAGAAAGCTCCCAGGGCAGTGTTTAAAAATAGGGGTAAATGCAATTGTGTTGTGCAACCGTAAAGCAGCTTTCTAAAGCTCAGTCTTTCAAGGCTGAATTTTCTGTATTACAGCGCATACATCTGCCCCTTTTAATCTAATGTTAATAGCACTGTGTGTGTTTTGTTTTTGTTTCTTTTTTCTCTTCCTAATTTTTTGCCTGAAGGGTGAACTAGTGGGGAGAAAAGTGGTTAACGGGTGGTTATTTTTATTCCCATTCCTCTTCCGCCTTTAGTGCGGATGTTGGCAGAGCTCCAGCTGTGTGTCGCTTCTAAAAGGCAGGCTCGCTTTTCTTGCAACTTGTTCCCCTTAAGTGATTCCTGATCTACAAGGGGCTCCTCTTCCCTGGACATCASGTTGTCGTGCTCAGTTATTATTTCAATGTCATCTGAAGAGTACAACTGATGTCCAAGTGACGACTTTCAAAATATGTATCTAAACAAGATCAGAAGAGTCAACAAAGGAATTCACTTTGTGAGATCCAAGTCGTCATTAGGAAAGAAATTCAGTTTGCAGCTGAATGTTGAATAGCAAAATGAGTAGTTTTCAGTGGAAACCTTCCATTTAAATGGAATGATATTTAAAGTCAAAATTGCTAACATAGCATATTTGCTTGGTTTTTCTCTCACCTGTCTTCTCATGACCGCCCATCCTGAGGCAGAAGCCTTCATCAACAGCAAGAATCTATCTTAAGCTATTAGATATGTGACATTACATGCTTGCAAGGAAGACGAAGATCCCAATCTTCCAATTATTCTATAGATATTTACTTTGTGATTCATCCTGTGGGTTTCCAGAGACCCAGAAAGCTGGAGAGATTGCCTTGACCGTAGACACTCCAGAAAATTAAATCATATATACATTTCCTCTTACTAGCTCCTCTCTAATGATGATGATTGGAGATAATCATAAAAAATAAGAAACCTGTCTAAAAGAACAGATATTAAAGGAATGTGTTTGCAAGGGTCCTAGTTAATACTGAGACAGCAAGTTTTAGAGTTTTTGTTTGTTCCTACAATTTTTCTCAAAGAATTCTAATAATTTGAATCTAAGAAGTTTCAAAGAATAATCTAGCTCACAGAACACACATATAAGAGGGTTAAACTGACAAGTACGGATTTGCAAAGGGAATATCATTAATGGTAATCCTTTGGCTCAGGTAAGGACAGCAAACTCCCTGTCTTCCAATTCAGCCACACCTGGGATGTTTTTCCTGTCTCTAATTCTCATAATCTTTCCATGCTCAACATGATATCCAATGTCAAAAGGAACGGCAAGAAAGATGACCTGTGTATGCAGCATATATATATGTATACACACATATGTATACTAAACATATTGTATTGCAGTTCTGCATCTTTTGTGCGACAACTGATCATCACCACTTTCAGACTAGGGAAAAACCCTTATTCAGACCTCACACCTGGGTATTCAGAAGAAACCTGATAAAGTCAGGAGTAAAACAGTCAGGAGTAAATCCACAAAGATCCAAACAATTTTGGTGAGGGACAAGAAAACCTCTAAAATAGCAGCCTAAGAAAAAAGCATGTGAATCTCACCGCAGGGTTTTGACCCACTGCAAATTTTACTGCCTAGGTCCCGTTCTGCAGCTTAGCCCACGGGCCTCAGCACTAGCCGATATTCTCATTTGTGAGAATATCTAACCACCATTTCAGATGGCAAGCAGTTTACTTATTCAAACTTAAGAAATGTTTTTTTTAAGATGACTATTTTATAAATTTATATACATTTATTTTATAAATAAATAACTTTTATTTTTATATTTTTTTCTTCCATAAGGAAAGACAAAATGACTTGTCCTTTGGACTTAAAACAGGAGTATGGATACATATTTGTAAAAATCAGGCATTGATTTTTTTTTCTTTTACAGGAGAGTTTTTTGCCTTACATGGAGAGTTTTAGTTTGCTTTGCCCTTAAAGTTTAACCCTTCTGTCAACAAATGTGTACAGATACAATTGTTTGCTAATCATCCATTTCAAAATAAGAGTACCTTTAAAAATTGTTTCTCTTTAATTTCCAAGAAATCTTTCTTATTATAACTGTTATGCTGGGAGAGAGCAGATATGTGTATTTTCATACATATGCATGTATTTGAAAGTGTATAAAATGAGAAGAAACCTATTCCTATTTTTGATGAAAAGAAAAATAATCTTCTACCTTTTCAGTGAAGAAAGCAGCAAATACTGGTATAGATGCCTGGCTTTGAATATGTTAGTTTATTTCCTGTCTCCTTCTCCCCCTCTATTTTGATATTTGATTCCTGAGGCATCTTATTTGCCTGTGTAAACCTCTTGTTATGTATACATTAAGTCAACAAACTTCAAACAATTCCAAATTAATCATCTTTACCAGCGGAGACCAGATGCCTGTTGCTACATGTCTTTCTGAGGCATAATCCAGACCACGCTTGATTAAGATTTTGAGAGATTATAAATCATAATACTTTGTATTTTTTTTCTGTGCATAAAGCGAGTTTAAACAGCAACAGCGTTGAGTCACTTTTGTGCACACAGGCAATCACCCTGTCTGTAAACTTTACTCCTAATTCAGTTATTAACAGCCAAGTGAATGATCCAGAGTTATGTAACTAGAAGGTCAAAAGTACCTGTTGCTTTGATAATTGAGTTACACAAGCACCGAGAGCTCTCCTGCTGCCTCTGCTGAGCCCTCTTGCCTGCCTGTTCCCGATTGTCTCCTGCTTGTGTGGATGGGATTCACAGGCATTCCCGTGTCCCACCTCTCTGCTGCAGACAGAAGCCATGCGATAATTCCATCAGTCTTGATAGCAGCAAACTGGGCATCGCTACACGTGCATCATACATTAGATCTGAAAATATATTGCCTTGTTTTTTTTTCTTTTTTGGTCATTTCAGCTACCATAGTTATTAGGGCAAGTTCTTTGTTTAAATCGCTTAAGAAAGAGACTAACCTAAGAGAAAGAGGCATCTTAGGATAATGTTTTATGTGTTTCACACTGCATGTTTTTTTCTATTCTACCTCTTTCATTATAGAGACTCCAGAGATTCTAGAGCAGCCATGCATTCAAACCTGGATAGCGTGTATGGTTAGTAAGCCTTGCTACCTGTACCAATTCTGGAGTAAAATAAATATTGCAGTGTTTTTACCAGAAAGAATTTAATTCACCAATATTTATGTTTTACAACAATTTTTTAAATTTTTCCTAAAAGATGCTGCTGATCATCATTATCAATAAGCTACATATCGTATTTACTGCTGCAAAGAGATCTGTAATATACTTCTTCAGATAACTGGAAGAGTTTGGAATAATAGTAGTAGAATGAAAAATGCAACATTTTTCAGGTGATAAAATACTTATAGCATTCCAAGTATCTCAGTTTATTTTTATTCCTAAAAGCTACATTATTAAGATTTTTTTGCACCACATAAATACAGTTTTCTTCTGTTAATCTCTTTTTTAAAAAGAAATTATTTACCTTCAGTTTCAAATACCAACAAAATAAGCTTGTTAGTGTGTTGTACACTTGTTGTCTGTATTGCTATCAGCAGTCTATGAAGCATTTACATTATAGCTATCAGTAAAGTCTTTATTGCAAAACTATATTGCTATTGAAGTTTCAATTGGTGTATGAAAAGATTTAAAAAGAAACACAGTAATAATTTTGCCTGTTAAAATCATAAGTTTTTAAATGGGCCATCCATCCTGTGTGAGTTACTCACCTGTGCTTTAAATTAGTCAAGTGCTTAATTGGCTTGTTGGATGCTTGTATGCATAATATAGATCCTTGGTCGAAGAGCTACCAGGCTACAACAGATGTAATTTTATGTGTTGATCTTATTCTGTAGAATTTTGTACAATTTCTTTTTGTATATTAATAATACCATACCCATTAATGGGTCAAAATGATAGAGTAGAACAAACTAAAGGCTGTCAATGTATTACATAGATATAAAATGAGATATAAACCATGTAAGTGTTGAGAAATTCAGATTATTAGGTATATTTAGCTATATTTCTTATACAATTGACTAATTCTGCTTAAGATATTAACATTAATAATTAAAAATTGATATTTGTTGTACAAGTGTATGTATTTTGCTACAAAAGATAGTTATACTATTGTATAAGCCTTACCTACCTATCTTTATTGTATAGCAGAGAGTATTGCTATATTAAAATGTATTTACATGTACATTATCACTTAATTAAATTCATTCTATTTGTTATTCAGCCAGTGAGCTCTTTTCAGTTCATGCATATGTCTTACCACGAAAGTCAATTTTAGAATCTTAAATGACCTATTTCTTCAAACCAATTGAWTTTTCAGAAATTTAGACAATTTAAACTGCTGGATGGTTGATGGCTCTGAAAACTCAGGCTACCTGC